TCGGACTGAGACTTAGTTGACCAGCTGCAACCTGAGACCTCATCTAGCAAGTCCGGCAAACCCTCAACTGCACGGACCTTGCTTGAGCGCTTTGAGAGCCGAGGATGGCAGTGCTCCTGGCGGGCCCGGAGGAGGCCTTGGACCGAGACTTGCGGCGCATTCGGGACCTCGAGATGACGACGCTGTCCTCTGGCATGGGGAAGTCCTCTCTGAAGTTCTGCCAAAAAAACAGCTGAATTCCCACAGCAACAAAAAGGACCCGGCATAACCGTCATAACCTTTTCAAGCCTGGGGCCCGCCCGGGCCCCCCGCACCCCCACTGCCAGGTACCAAAGCTACGGATCCTTCGACCCCGTGGCCTGCGCCGGCGTTCTCACCGGCGGGGACTACGACGCTTGGAAGGTGCGAGCTGAGGCCAAGCCCGATACTGTATGTGTCCCAAAGTCTTTAATCAGAGGAATTGGGTTTGGGGCCGTTGGGGAGTTCTGGTTCCTCTGCCACACATGTTGGCGCCGTGGAGACCAAAGACTCTTTTTGGAATGTCGCAGTCGGCCTACAAGAAGTTTTCGTTCAGACACCCCGAAGAATGATTCTATCACGGCTTCCGTAATTTCTGCTGAGCCGAAAACATCCGCCACTCAACGTGTCCCACACTCTCGAACACGAGCGTGCTATGCATGACCAGCTGCGGCTCAACTCCAAAGCTTCCTGCCAAGACTCTAGCAAGAGGCACGCCGTGCGGAACTGGCCGCGAAGCGGAATGCCGAGAAGGCTGCAGAGACGGACAAGACGGGACCAAAGCCTTGAATCTCGGTGAGGCACTGGCTCAGGACACTTGCCCGTTCTTGCGCCCTAGATTTTCGTACTCGTGATCCGGTGCTGTATGTACAAGGTTTTTGATTGCTGCAGCCTGCAATCCTCTATGTAGAAACACGCATCAGGAACGGCTCCGATCCCACGGACGCTTCCAAACGATGGCGGCATCTCCACTTCGGAGCGAGGGATGCTAAGGACACGCCAAGGGCAAGGACGGCACGGAGATGACTGCGTTCTCTTCATTACTGGTGTTGTTGGGAAACATCGCTTTCAGGTACCTGCGTGCCAGTGGGTGCAGAAGGATTCCCGTCCTGGTGTGGGATGGCTTGCATCGGCGATGAGTGCTTGCATCGGCGATGAGTGCAGCATGGGGCAGGTGCAGATGTACCAGGGTGTCTAGACAGCCGTTCCGGTGGCACGGAAGACTGGCAACAACATCCTGGCGACATGATGTGTGCACCGGGCGGTCTCCTCATGGCAAATGGGCGCAACGAAAAATCATTGCAGATGCCAGGCTTGCACCCTGCAGGGATACAGTTCGTTTGAGTTATCTGGGCTAGGTTCATCGTCTCTGGAGCCCAACCAAACCCAAGGTGCACTTTGGACCAGTGTGAGTGATCGCGCCCGCAGTTCATCAGTGTTGACCCTCGATTTCATACCACCCTACTTTCACTTGGAACCCTGCATGTCCAAAAAACCCCAGCCACAAAGAGCAGCATGTGTATGTACGCATTTATACATGTGTGTCTGCCTGCCTGCCGGCCTGGCTGGCTGCCTGTCTGCTTGCCTGTCTGTACATTACATGCGCCCGTATGTGAATACGCACATAGGAGTAGGGTAGGTGCATAGGAGTTTATATGGTCCCTTTGTCTGTCTGTCTGTCTTTCTGTCTGCATGCATGCATATTTTGCCTGTATGTGTCACCGTGCATATATACATACATATGTATATTCAATGTTTAGAAGTAGGTTCATGATACAGATCTCTAGATGTCTGCCCAAGAAGGCCTTGGACTATGTCTCCTTAACGAAGGCTCGGCCGATTCGGCCTCCGCGACCTGCCGGGGCGCTTCGAGGGCGGCTTCGGAGCGGTCCAGGCGCGGAGAGGGTGCCAGCACAGGAGCATGTTCTTGAAGTTCACCAACTTTGAAGGCTTGACATGGGTTTCAAGGACCGAAGCTGGGTAAATTTTGGGGTTCTTTGCAGGGCTCGGCAGGGGAAACAAAAACCTTCTCACGAAGGGCTTGGCTGGCCAGGACTGGTCGCGCGTGCTCTCCTTGGGGGAGCAGCAGCGCCTGGCCGCTGCGCGCTGCCTCACAACGTTCGGGCCTTTGACGGCTCCGGGCCTTGGACAACAAAGGGCCTGCTCGGGCGTTTTTTAGCGCTTCTAGGTGCATGGAAGATGGAGGATGCACCTGACATTTGCAGTCTGACCGGGCTCCCTGGATGCCAAGCATGCTTTGAGAATCGGCTAACAACACTGAGACATGCCAGGAAGCTAGATGGCGATCCTAGAGTCCCTAAAGCTTAGCCGAGCCGCATGCTGCATTTGACTGCAATCTGCCGTTGCTGGAGGCGGCCACGTTTTGTGGTGCTCGATGAGGCTCGACGTGCCTGTCCATCGAAGGGTCAGGGATGACCGAGGGGTCGAGTACGGCTCGTGATGCACCGTCCGCTGACTTCGAGTTCTGAAATACCATCGCAGACTGACAGGCAAGAGGGCAAGAGCTCATGCCCCTGAGGCCACAAGCGCTTTGCCACTAGCTGCGGAGAAGACCGTTTACGACCAGCGGCTGCCTTGGCCATCTGTTCCTTTCAGCCCAGAGAGTTCGGAGATTCAGTGAAGAGGTTCCGTACGAATGAGCACCGAAGCTTTCCAGCATGTCTCGGATTTGTAGGTTTGGGTCGTCCCAAAACGTTTTGAACATAGCGGACACCAAACTGCATGTAATGCAGATCCCTATACTGCCCGAGCAGTAGAATTCGTATTGCACAGGACTCCAGCGCAGGACATCCGTCGCTTCAGGAAGCTTCTGAGTCAGAAATGACCGCAGGTTCGCTTCGGAGCCGCGCATCGAAGGCTATGTCGGCAGCTCAGGAGGTAAGGACAGAGAGAAATAAATGCACAGCTGGTGAGGCCAGCCTGCTATAGCATGCTTAAGCTTTGTGTGGCTGTGGCCCTTTCTTTTTATGGTCTGGGCCAGTTCCAATGCATGCCAAACGTATACTGTGCAGTTATGATCCGTGTAGGGATCTGTAGTTGCGATATATATATATAAATAAATATCAATATACATATACATATAAATATAAATATAAATATAAATGTAAATATAAATATAAATATAAATAAATAAATAAATAAATAAATATATATATATATCTAGAGACAGAGAGACACAGAGACAGAGCAAAGCAAAGAGAGGGAGAGAGAGAGAGAGAGAGGCGATATATATATATATATGTATACACATATATATATACACACACACACACACACATATATATATATATATATATATACATCGTTCCCAGGTCAGTGTGGGACACCGCGTCAGCTTGGCAAAGTACCACGGCGCACTTAGTAGGGAGATGGGGGATTCATGTTCTGCCAGCCGTTGCTGCGCCTCGCTTTGGTTTCGATCCGGCACCGTTGGTTGGTGACCTTTTGCCTTCATGGCTGATGAGTCATTTGTTCCTCTCTTTCTTTTTGTGTGGGTGTGCATGGCAGGTAGTCCTGGAGCTGTTGGGCGAAGGGCAATGGCGTGTGATGACGCCCGCGGAGTACGAGGATGGGAGCACCATCCTATGATCGGCTAAACATGGCACATTAACTGCGCATGCAGTGCTCGTGATTAGGGAGAGCAGCTGTGTGCTTTGGGTCTTGAAGTTTTTCCAGAGGGTCGCATATTGAAGGCCGCAGGTCCAGGTGAACGCCCGAATTCCCCTAAACCCCTCTTCCGACCTGCTCAGGCCGCAGTCGGTTCAAAGTGACCGTGCGAGCCGGCTGTGGCTTTGCAAGAAAGAAGGTGCAAGGGAGTTCGGGGGTTCCGCGGAACGGTGTGAGCTTTTTTCCTGAGGCGTGCAAGGGAGTTCAGATGGTGAACTTGCTGACAATCCGCCAGCCGCCGCTCAAGCGCTGAGAAGTGGCTTAAGACGATGGCACCCAGCACAAGATTGCGATGCATTTTCGAGATTGGTCACACCTCAATCCTTCCGTGGCAGTGGGCAGTGGACTTGAAGAGCACGGAGCATCCTGAAAGGAGCCCCAGCATAGAACCACACCTGTAGCCGTAGCCAGTCCCTCACTGGGCAGTCCTTAGCGAAGTGTGTCGGACCTCCTGCCTACTTGCCGATGGCCAGCACCTTCACAGCCGGGGCTTTACAGGCAGGATCCTTGCAATTTTTGCAACACGAGGTCTCTCAGCTGTTGAAGCGAGGGCCTCGTGGTGAGGTGAAAGGTTTCATCAGTCAGGCTTGCTACAAGACTTTCCGATTCTCCCCGCCTAGGTTGCGTTTTGCTTCGTTTGCGCCACTAGGTCCAATCTCAAGCTGTACCGCAAGTGACCTCCATGCATGCGGCTTCTGTGCAGAGCATGTCCACAGCCGAATCCATCTCCATAGCGCACAAGATTCGAGTTGAAGCGCTAAGGCTCGGAATAAGATGCCGCGGGTGAGACTTAAACGGACCCCACCCCCAAACTCGCCCTTCCACATAGGATCATGTTGGCTGCTGAATCAAAAAATAGCAGTTTTAAAGAGTAACCGTTACAGCAAGCCTTCTTAGTACGCCTTCTAGTCTTAGCATGCTTTAGTTACACAGCTTTGGCGCCATGCGGAGACGGCAGCTCTCGAGGATCTTCTGGCTGGTGAGACTTGGGTACATATAGGGAACCGAGCGCATGATTCAAGCACTTCACACCTGCAATTGAGCTTTCTGCCGGGCCTGTAGTGCTCGATTGTGGACTTGTCCCGGGGATGTATCGTACGGGTCTGAGAGAACTTGGAGCTTCGGTCTCTTCGGCTCTCTCGTGACAGCAACGCGTGCTTAGACTGCAGCCGTCGACCGCCGACCTTTTCAGGTCAAGCCTGACGATTAAACAAAGCTTGATCTGATTCGGCGCATGCCGGGAGGCTGCGATATGGGCCGCCCCACTTGCTTGGGATGGTCCATGGCCGTGGTGGATGGCGAACGTCGAGGCCTGCCAACTCCCTCCAATGCCAGATCGCTCCCAGCTGTTTGGCCTGGAAAAGGCTGCAACCATCTGTGATTTGCATTCCAGGGCCTTCCAGCGTCTCAGCCGTAGCCGTGGTGGGGACATGACGCCGCATCAGAGGGGTTTTTTTGGAACGGAAACGACACTTTTCGCAGTGCAGGAGCCCGAGCAAGTGTCCAAAACGACCTCGATCCTCGTCGGGGCCACTTCGGCTTTACCTGTGCCAGGAAAGCGAGGTTGATGGATTGGTTTGAATTGGTGCATTGATGGGTGCTCGACGAATCAAGCTACTTGTAGAGCAGCTAGAGTGTAGGAAGAAGGTGTCAATACAAGCATTCTGGATGCAAGGTTTCGGTGTGCACTCCAGCAAACTTAATGTTGCAGAGCCGGAAGTTGTGAACAATGATATGCCCCTCCCCAAGATTCTATATCCGGATATCCGGATGCACAACCCCTGCCAACTTCGACTGAGATTCGGAACAGTACCAGTGGCTCTGTGGACGTACTTCCTGGCGCAAAGCCTACTTACCGTTTCTTTGAAATGATGATTCGCACTTTGCAATTTGAAGCTGCCTTGAGCTCCTGGATGTCTTTGGTGTTTCTTTCCGCTTTGATACTAGTATGTGTCGCTGTGAAGATCTGAGCACCGTCGAAGCAAGGGGGCCAAAAGCGGGTGCTCCAAAAGGGCTCCCGTTCTCCGAGCTCTTTCGCCTCTGAAGCTGAGGTTCTGGTGGTCATGGTGTGGGAAGTGCTATGCACATGCTTGACCAAGGACGCTTGTGTATTTCATTGAATCATTGAATGCAGATCCTTACAGGACCGGACTCTGCTCTGGCGTCGCAGCCGTCTTGATCGTGAGGAGAAGCCCACCATCGTGACCGAGTTGGTTGCACTGCTCTGCCGCGGCCGCAAGGCATTGGAGTTTCAAATCGACTGAATCCCTGACTGAAGCTCCTGCCTGGAGGAGGAGAAGCTGCTGAACCAACGGCAGGGCCTGGCTCATGTGCTGTGCCAGAAGATGGACGAGTTCTCCCAAGAGAATGCCAAGGCCGGAGGTCCCAAGACGAGCAGCCGGCAGAGTGTGAGAGGGGGAGCTTCTACGCACGCCTGCAATCTCCTCTGAGTGTGTATCGCCCATCCGTGCCACCATTCGGAACTCAGAATACACTCCTGGTTATTGTCGGGTTCTGTTCGTGGTCAGATATCTTGCTCATTTTCGCCATGACTGCATACCCATATGCACTTATGAAGGCGAGTGCCTGTCGGTATGTGTGCAAGATACGGAGGTCGAAGGTGCAGTGGGTGGATGGGTGGGCGGGCGGGGGAGTGGGCAGACTTGGGTATAGAGGTAGGAAGGTACTGTAGGTAGGTAGGCAGGCAAGTAGGCAGGTAGGCAGGTAGGTCGGTTGGGGTTGTGTCCGTGTGTGCGTAAACAGTGTGTAAATATTTTTTGTGTGTATGTTTCTGTGTATATGCGTACGTGTGTGTATGGTAAGCACGCCTGATGTGAACATTCAGTAGGTGTGCGTGCTTGTATAGCTCTCCACATTTGTTCGCTTGCACGTGCCATAGATCTCTGCCATGCCTCAGCAAACGCTTTGAGGCTCACTTCTGGTCGGCCCGCACCTGGTCTCGAGAGTTCGAGCCAAGCGAAGAGCTGAGTACCTGGGAGCTCGAGGATATACTGACTTCAATGCCTGTGACAGAACTTGGGTGGGCTGTGCGCGTATGTGTGCCTGGGTAGAGATCGTTTGAGTCCAGGACTCTTCTTGCGGTCCGAGCCGCTTTCTGCCGTTTCCGGGCACGTCGGTCATCTTCTTCGCCGAGCACACGATCACTAAACGGCCACGCTGCAGCGATCTAGTGCCGTTTTGGGATAAGGCTCTTCTTCCGATGATGGTGGCCCACTGACCTCAACAGAGCGTGTCCACGAGCCGTTTCTTGAGGCAGAGCGAGGGCAGCATCGACATCACGCTGCTGCGTGTTGGGGACCTCAGCAATGAGGCGGCAGAATCCTGGTCTTTCTTTGATGCCTCTGTTCTCCAAGCCAGCTTTGGATGCGAGTAGGACGATTCGCAGCCTTGAGTAGATGGATGTCAGGTGGCGGTGGAGCTCGCCACAATCGTCGGGACTGCGAAGGCGCATCCTCGTAGAGTTTTTTTAGGCCTAAGGGGCAGTAACCAGTAGCGACGCCCTCTGCATTTTTTTCCTCTCCGAGGCCGAGCACTGCTTCAAGGCCTCCAAGGGCCTGGCTGTCTTCCCTCCCGGCTGCAGCTCCGCAGTCTTCTCGGTGGAGCTGCTGCCCCACGAAGGCATCCCAAGAACTTCTTGTCAATTCCTCTCTCTTCTCGCTCTCTCTCTCCTTCTTTTATGTTGTTCTCGCTTTTCCAAGTCTCTCTGTCTTTGAGTGATGAGAGTAGCCAGGCTTTTCAATGTGTTACGGGGCAAGTTTGTGTGCTCGCAGTGCTAGATTTTTCCATGCCAGAGGCTTCATCTCACAGCGATTCTTCGTTGTCCATGTGGAGCGCATCATCGGCCAGGTCCCCCCGAAAAAGCCACAGCTGTTTATTCTGTCATGGCACAGTTCACCAGCTGCAGAATCTAGAATGGAGATGCTAATGCGGTAACACTGCCGGCCTAGGCCTTAAGCTTTGTTTCCAGTCGGCTTGGAAGTTGTGGAGTTCCCTTTGCAGGGGGTTGGAAGCAGGCCACTATGGGCAGCTGCTTCTTCACCCGCGTGCGGCTGCTGCCGTCCGGGGTCCCCGGGCTCCAAGAAAGCGGTGTGGCAGTGATCCATTCAAGCGGAGCTGGTTGGCTTAAGACGGAATCCTCAGCTCTCGCTCTGCAGAGGGCAGAGACCTGCCAAGATTTGACTGTGCCGACAGGTCTGGCCGACAGGCCTAAAAGCGGCTGACGTGGTTCCTTGGAAGCACGCAATGATGGCTTCTCCACGAGTGGCACGAGCTTCGCATTGCTTAAGGCGCTTGTTTTGCTCAACTGTTGCAACCTCCAGATTTGCAAATCAGAAGGAACCCATGCATGCCTTAAGCCAAGCAGTACTCTTGGCACTTGTTACCCCAAAATCCGAATGCTTTCCGCTTCAGTTGCATTTTTCTCTTGTTTGTTTCGGGGCTCTTCGAAGACGGCATGCAGGAGACGATGCGGAGCTATGCTCGGAACTCACTTTCCTAAGCCCAGAGCCTATACTCCCTACTCTCCATCAGCCCAAGCAGCTCAAGAAAGCCATGAAGCTCAAGATCCCAAGCACCCCGACACCTCCGAAACCCGACTCACAAGGAATGCCCAAATCCCAGTCGTCTGGTGAGGCTGAAGCAAGACTGCACTTAGTTTGGGGTGAAGTTGGACCTCCCACCTGCAAGCGCAAGGTAGGATGCTCTTCTGAAAGCAATGCAAATCCTTGAGAAGTCGTTGCTTTCGGAATATCGATATCGTCTGAGACCAAAGCCCTGATCTCGAAGCCTTGCGACCGGACTCCGTTGATCGACCGCTTGCATCCTGACGCCTGACTCTGCGTACCTCCAAACCGCCGGAAGTACCACACAAACCATATAGGACAAGCCGTGAACAGCCCTTGTTCTCATAATTCCGTTTTTCAATTCTTTCCAATAGGGAACCCGTAGCCCGATGAGGCCAAAAGGTACCCAAGACTTAGCGAATCTTCCAGGAAAATGGTCTGGGCCTTTGCCGCGATGATGCTACGGCGCCGGGGGATCCGCCTCTGGAAGGCTACGGAACATGCCTAGCGTAGTTTCTTGTGGAGGCCTCGATTCCGTGGGGGAAACCCTGAGCTGAGATTGAAGGCAATGTGTGTGTATGTGTGTGTGTGTGCGTGCAAGGTTCAGAGTGTAGACGGGCTAAGGGTGGCAATGGCTAACTGCGTAGGCTTTCGCGCATAAAACGGTAGCGAGTCCTGCGATGCAGTTGTCGACGAGTTTTCGCGACATGGCCGAAGGTGATGGCCTCCATCGTATGGCTGGATTTCCACCGTGTGGTCATGAGCCTTGACTTGGATGAAGTGAGCATAAGGCTCTTTTTGGCGACAATCGGAGTCTCTGTAGTCTTCTGGCATTTGTGGCTGCAGAGGAGCTGCGTATAAACAATACGGGGCCGGGTAGTAGCATCGACGGCGAGCATGGAGCCAAGGAATACGCTGCTGCTCAACTACGCGATCTACGACCCTCGCTTGTTGAAAGCCGTTGTTCTTTAGGAACAGTTTGCACGGTTTCTTATAGGTTCTGCAAAGCAAGAGAGTGTCAAGGGTCAGGGCTCTCCCTTGTCAGGGCAGGTCAGCTCTTCTCGAAGCACTTGGCTCTTAGCTCTGTGGCCACGAACAGCAGCAATAGCAAGAAGAAAAACAAACCAGAGATCAGAGGCGGAATCGAATCATGATAGCCCCCAATTCCAAGAAGCCCTGAGCCGTGTCGTTTTCGGCCTTGCCGGTTGGCTGCTATCAGGATTGTGCTTTGAGGTTGGCTCAAGCAAATCGGAGCATCTTGAAGCTGGCAGAAGTGGAGCAAGGATCTTAGGAACATATAAAAAGCCTATTCCGCCGTGCGATGAGGACTTTTGCTTGACGAAGGCCAGCTTCGAGGCCGCGTGCCACCGCCCCTCCACTCGAGATACTGGGGACTTGAGGTTCTTGAACACACAGCCCAACAAGTCCACTGCTTCGTAGAACTGTAAAGACGTCTACTCGAGCCCCTGTAGGAGACCTCTGCCAGCAAATTTCCCACTTAGTTCTTATGAAGGGCGCATGGAGATTCTGAGATCCAGGTCTGCCTTTCATCGTCCTGGCGAAGCTGGTGCTGGTCTGCGTGGACAGGCCGCTTGGGCTTGAGGGCTTCAAGATGGAAGTGCTGTGCCAAGACCGAATCGATGCGATTCGGCCAATCGCGAATCCTTCGTCGCCTTGCGCTCCGGCTCGGGAAGCCCAGGCTGGCGAGCCACGTCAAGGCGGCCATGCTGGGCAGCCTCTCCACCACCCGCCTGCTTCAGGAGGTGCTCCTGCACAGGTACCTGCAGCGGCTCGGATGGGGGCACGCGGGGTCTTAAGTTTCGAGATGTCATGGGACCATAGGAGCAGCACAGGGCGAGTGGGGGGAGCAGTCCGGTTGCAGGAAATTCGTGTCCATGAAAGCATTGGGAAAGACCAGCATTAAGGCTTCCCAGCGACGTGCTGCACCTGGGCACCTTCCTCCACATGCTCTTCGACACCGTGCCCGAAAGCGTTACCTACGGCTACAAGACCCGGATCTGCCGACGCTGCGGTAGTGTGCAGTCATTTGCTGCTCACGAGGCCTTCAGTGCCTCCTGTCTGCTTTGCAGGACCATCTTCCAGCTGGCGCACAGCTCGGTGTCCATGGTCTTTTCTGTCCTCATCGCACTGGTGATTCAGGCTGGGCGCATCCTTTCGGGGCGGAGGTCCAAAGATGTCTTGTCCGAGGGTGACCCTCTGCGCTCTGGCAAGGCCTCGAAGCAACGGGTGGCTTTGGTTTTGTCTTTGCTCAGGTGCTCAAAGGGGAGGTGCCGCCGCGCAGCGCCTGGCAGCCGCTTCTCTGGATCCTGGTGCCGATGTGCTGGTGCCTTTGCGACAGAGAGGCTTCATACTTCAGCTTCTCGAAATCCCTGCGTGGTTGAGGGCTCGGCGGGTGGTCTTCGAGGGTTGTTTGAACGGTTCTGCCTTATTCTTGTGAGCTGTGCATGACGAAAGTGTTTGATCTCTCCCAAGCATCCACAATAAGTTTCTGCGAAGGACAGTGATCATCAGCGTCTGTCAGCGGCGGAGTTCTTTCAATCGCTCCTCGGCTTCGTCGGCTTCCGTTGCCCGATACAAGAGGATCTGAACTGTGCTAACTATGCATCATCCTAGGTGGCACCAGGTGGGATTCGGGAGACCCTTCAAAGGGGACCACTTCGAGAGGGGGCTGCTGCCCATTCAGCGATTGAAGGCTTCGGAGTTGGCAACCTAGTACATGAATCGTGAGAAGGCACAAGTCGAGACTTGCTGCTGCTGAGTTCCTGCCTGTGGCAGTCTGCTATGCTACTAGTTTCCTCACCGTAACTGTGCAGTAAAGCCCCCGTGTGGAGTTCCGAAGCCGTAAGCCAGCTGCCCTGCCGCTAGCAATCCGCTTTCAGCAAGCGTGAATTTGCAGAGAAGCTTTTCTATGCGACATTTTCGATGGAGCCCGTTGTGCTCGACCCTCGTGGCCAGCACATGCCCCCATAACCAAGTGCCACCTAACCAAGTGCCACCTGAACTTATCTACAGTCTACACTTTAGACTTTTACCGCGTGCTCTCCCTGAAGTCTCCCTCTCTCTGGACGTGAGCTTGTCCGACTGCCCAGGATGGGCCGTGCAGGCACGCGACTCCGACATCGCCGCTTCGCTCACAGCTGGGATGTTTGGGCTGGTGGAGGTCTGGGGTTCGGTCTTCAAGCTGGTCTTGGGCATTCTGGAGTGGCTATGAATTCAGACCGGATCTGTTTCGTTCGGTGACCTTCTGTCTTTGTGAGCAAGGCAAGTTGCAGACTTGTGCCTCGTGCACGTCCTTCGGAAGCGGATCCGAGGAGAAGACCTCGGCCATGGTGGAGTTGCTGAGCTGCCGGCAGTGGCTACGAGCCTACGACGGCTCGCCCCTTCGGCAGAGGATATCCGTTCCCGTCGATCGAGAATCCTACCGTTTTCGGGTATGTGGTCGCCTCGGCTCGGAGGAAGGATGTGAGGGAAAGGGAGCATGAAGCAAGGGTTGCAGGCAGAAGAAGAAGCCACTCGAAACCAAGCTCTCCACGTCACACAAGAGGCATCCCTAGTTCCCGCTTTGCAGAAGAGAGCCCAGAGGCTGGTTTGCGTAGCATCACCTCAGGTACCCTGTGCAGCATGTGCGGAGCACGTTTGATGACGCCTGGTCCAGCTTCCTGGAACCTGGATGTTGATTGGGAAGTCTAGACTCTTAGACCCCTAAGCCAGCGATAAAACTCAAGCCGCCAGGCATTCTGTAGCTGGATCTCTATGCGCCAAGGAAAAGCGAACCTTCTTCGGAATCTACAAGAATGACACACAGTGGCTGGCTCGCTACGTCGGGGAGCTCACGAAGGTTTCTTGGGGGTGCCCGAGTTGTTTCCTCCACTGATGTCTGGCTTAAGCGGGGTTCTTGACTCAGGCCACTGCTGCGAATCCGATTATTTCAGTCAACCAAAGCAACCAACCTGCCTACCAACCTCCAACCTACCCACCTACCAACCTACCAACCTACTTGCCAAGCAAGCAAGCAGGCAGGGGGGCTGGCAAATACGCATGTGGGTTCCTATGATGTATGTACACTTATGTACATTTTCTACGAACGAACATCCCAAGCCCCCTTGCCTGACTTTCAAGGTGCTGGGGATTCTCTTCGGTGGCTATGCGGTCGTTCAACACACGCAGAGTGGGGAGGGCAACATGACCATCGGCCGCTTCACGGTGTTCCTTGGCCACAGATCCCCTGCCGAGCTTACGTAGGCAGAATGTTTCACAAGAGACTGGAGGTTTGTCAGTCTTTACAGCATCATCGTCGACGTGCTCTACAGCTTCATCGAAGCATGGGATGGCCTGGTCTACGCAGGGATACTTGTTGAGGAGCTTGCGCAGTTCATAAACAAGCCCAGCAGGTGGCTCCATCAGCTCTCTGACGAGCACGTCGACCCGGAGAGCCATCCAGTGCTGACGGGCTCCTTCGCCGTAAAGCTGGCTTCTGTGAGCTTCCACCTGGATGCGATGCCCAGCAAGCTATCATCAACGGATGCAGATATTCCACTGGGCCGCACGTATGGTATCCGGACGCTCAATGATGCGAGCTCCTTGCGTCGACAGTTAGGCGGGAAGCGAAGCGGCAGCTGTTGTACCAGTACCCACGAATCGGCAAGAATCACCCCGCTGCATCAGAGAGGCTTTGCTCGAAGCCTGTCGACAGGTGAGATCCTTGGTGGGCTGCAGGTACCGCCTGGCAAGGTTGACTTGGTCGGCTGCGCCAGGCGTTGAAATTAAAGCTTCGCTGTGCTTTCTCTTCTCGCCCCCGCGCAGAGAGAGAGCGAGAGACGCCGCACCGGGCAGGTTCCTACTTCTGAAACCCCCAGTCACCTTGGCGACCGGATCCGTGCTGGAGAATCTGCTCCTTGGCCTTGGCGCTTTGGGGTCAAAAGGGTACATGAAGGAATCCCTGAGCTTTTGGGCTCCTACCCGGATCGGCGAGGCGCTGCATGTCGACTTCAAGCTGTTGCCAAGGCTCTCCAACGCCGCGGCTTGGGTGCGGGCGAGTGACGTCATCGCAGCTCGGCCCGAAGGGGCTCGCAGGCTTTCTTGAGACCTGTGCGGCTGTATGCCTTGGGCTTTGACGACCGTCTTGACACTTTGTGCCCAAAGGAGTCATATGCTGAGGCGCTCTTGGCCATGCTGGGCATCCCGTTGCCACCGCCGCCGGGTGCCCAGCCGCGGCACGCGCTGGACCCGGCCGTCCTTCTCCAGGCAACCCTTTGGGGTCGTTTTAAATCGAGTAGCTGTGCCTAGGCGGGTTTGAGACGTGAACATACAGACGGTGCCCTCAACGGTGAATCCAGGCGGTGAAGCAAGCTGCTGAGCTCCATGGGGCCACGCCGCCGCAGCTCAAGAGCGACAAGCTCTATGCCCACTGCACCTGGCTCCCTTGTCTGCACTGTCTAGTTTGTGAAGTGGAGGTTGAAGTACGTAAGGGATCTGGCAGTTGCAAGTCTTTCAGGCAACCTTCCCAGCTCCAACTTGCATCAGGTTCCGAGATCGCTGTGTAGAGTCTGACATTGACGTGCTGTCGCAGATCACGAGAGCAGAGGAGCTGATTACTTTATCTGCTTTCAGAGCTTCAGACTCTAGAATTACCCAGGAGTTGCTGAGCAGAGTGACTGGTGGGCGTGGGGCGGTCTTCGAGAGCAGTCTCATCCTCGTTGACATGGTTCGAAACCGAACGAAGGTTGTCTTGCGTGGCTAGGCCAACGTTTGGAGGCTCCAACAGATGGCCCCAGAAGCGGTCCAGCAGCGAAAAGGCCTATAAACGCAACCTAGCATAAGTCTCTCGGGATACACTCCAGCTGAGCTCCAACGACAGCGAGGAGCTTCTGCAGCCCTCGGAAAAATTTCTGTTCGACATCGCACGTGGTCTTCTCGCTGACCCGGAAGTGTTGGTGGTTCAGGACATGGCTCTCCTTGCGAGTGTAGCGTGCGAGATTCCAGCAAGGAACGGAGGCATAGGTGCAGGACATGCATTTTTTGACCCAAAGAATGACCAAGCACCTAGCACTCCAAGCCCTAGATTCGTACATGCCCAAGAACCATTGCTGCAGCCCTAAGGCCACCCAATGCGTTCAGAATGTGCACCGCACTGACGGCACTGTGCGAGAGCACGATCTTCGGGAGGAAAGCAGGGGACGGCGGCGGGAGGCGGAGCCCCAGAAGTGAGCACGATTGTGAACGGGAGCGCGATTCGCCAAGTTCGTCAGGGCCAAGGAACTTGAAGCGGCCGTAAACCCCAAACCCCTAGGCAAATGTGCCCCTGAACCCCAACCTCCGGCTCAGGACATCTTGGGAGTGCTGCCGCTGCCTCTGGCGAGAAACGCGCTGCAGGTTTTGTGGCTCTGGCAGCGCCTTGGAGGCCTCAAGGGTGCGCCTCGGCCCAGAAGTCAAAGGAAGTGAACCACGGAGTGCCGTTGGGGGTCTGTTCCCTTTCCAGGTCCCAGGTCCCAGTTTTGGATCGATCTTGACTCCCTCCCCACAGCCCCCGAACCCAAGCCTTCTCAACGCACTGCTTCCAGCATACACACCAGGCATGCCCCAGAGATCAGGCACTTTCAGGCCCAAGACACGATGTTGAGGTGATGAGGGAATGAAGGAATGATGATGACGATGATGACGATGGCCGACGGCTGAGGTCATCCTGGCCTTGGAGGGTGGCATGGCGGCGGTGCCACCGCCCTTTCCTCCATGGCTCACACCTTGCGGCAGCCTCCCGCGCCCCTGGAGTTGAAGCTTACTGAATGTGAGGGTGTTCTTTTTTTTCAGGGCTCAGTTGCTTCTGCTCACAGGTCCTTCCCGCATGTTAACATACGCTATCTCCTCAACTTGTATTGAGGAAGTTTGCAGCCCTGCCAGAGCCAACACACTGCCCCCAAGACTAGATTTATTGTCCTGCATCTATTCCAGGCACTGTCTTCATTTCAGAGTCCACGATCGTTTGCGCAGGGCTCCATTTGCTCCTTGGTGTTAACCTCGGGTTCCCTTTGTGATGCTTTGAATATTTGCTACTTGTTCGGGACACTGAAGCAACTTGATTTGCTGATTGCTCACCGGGCCGTCGTTTCCAAGACTAAGGAGCAGGAACATCGATTCCTGGTTGCTTTTCCAGCCATCCGGATTGCTGGAAATCGTGGAGGGCGGATCCATCGACGATTGATAGAATCTGCACAAGATGCAGTCGTTGATAGCAACTGCTGGCGAAGCGTCTGCTAGACGGCTGCTTCCTCTTGCCCTGCATTCCTTCTTGGTACAGGGAGAATGCAGGTGGCTCCTCTTTTGTCCATGGTTTGCCTTGAGCCCACGATCTCACGCGCATCCAGTGCCATCTTTTGCCGTCCAGGGTTCTGCAGGCTTGATCGTCCAAGCCCGTTTGGCGTCTTTCCACAGGTTTTCCTAATATGGGCATAGCTCGACAAACGCGCGCCAAAGAAGCGCAGCATCAGAATGACAGCGGAGATGTCCAGACGAGCTGCAGAGGCCAAAATGTCGCTCGGTGGTCCCTTAGCGAGGATGGTCACAGAATGTGTCAAAATTATCCTCACCGCCGGCCAACGCATGGCGTTCAACAGTTGTTCAACAGCCCACTCTTCGAGCCATTGATCCCATGATGGCAATATGTGGTCTTGGCCTTGCCAAGCCCCAGGCCGATTGCGAGATGCAGCCGACGTCCCCTACCGCCTGTGCGCCCTCGCCGTCCCCGCCGCAGAACAGATCCCCTTCGTCGCGAGCTGGCAACTGGCTTTGGGGGCAGTTCGGGTTCTGTAAAAGGGGATCAAGTTTCGGCTCCTGTCGCAGGTGAGGCGTTAGATGGGAGTGGGATGGAGTGGGGTTGGACAGTTGAAAGCTCCAGAGCGAAGTGAGCACACGCCCCCTTGTGCTGTGCCGAGGTCAACGACGGGGGACCTGCCCGACCTGACGCAGCGTAGAGCCGGCCTGTCTTTTTTTTTTTGATCGCTTGTGGCAGTTCGTAGCGGGCTCCCCGCATGCACGGCTTGAGACGGCTTCGAGGCATGAGCATTCTGTTGTTCTTGGAGCAGTGACTCAGTCAGGGCATCACTGAAAGCAAGATGGGGGAGCAACACCATTGCCCAGGGTACGCGCATACAGGGACATGGATGTGATCGTGGCAGGGATCATGTCCATGGGACTGTACGAAGAGTATCAGCTGCTCGTCTCAAAGGTTTCATTTTCCTTGAAGCCTTGGACTTCGTCGAAGTGTGTTTTTGCTCGGACAAGCCAGAGAGGTGAAACCCATACGTGAAGGGCCACAGTCTTGGGCTGTGCCGAGCCCCGAGGAAGTTCCGCGCCGGCAACGCGCAGTGGCGCCGGGGTCTGGCCGGCGGCGCGCGGGGAGAACTCACGGCCGAGGCCGTGAGGACGTTGCCTTAAGGATCATGCCGGGAAAGGGGGGGGGGGGTTAGAGTCCTATTAGAGAGCTCCGCATCCCAGAGCATCCAGAGTCCAGAGCTGCGATGTGGACCTGACCGCAGGCCCTCTCCACGGAAGAGCGCCGGACCAGGACACCCCGAGTCCCAGGTCAATCGTGCCAGCTGTGTTTGATTTGTGGGGGCTTTCCGGCTTCAGCCGGCTTCTAGAGATCTCTTCCCTGCTTCTCTTGCCATCTTTGATTATACAATCCAGGGCCATAGCGACGGCTTCTGGCTTTGCGGCTTGAGGCTATGGTTTCGAAAGGCATCGAATTCCCCAGAGGGAGCGAGCGCCGCAGGACGTTCATTCAATCCTTTTTCCCTTCTTTCGAAGCCTGGCACTGGCGCCGGACAGCTTCATACTGGACCTTTGACCAAGATTCAGCTCGATAGGGAAAAGAACCCAGCCAAGCACCAAAAGCATCGTGCTGGAAACGAAGTCGAGATAGTTATCCGAGAACGAGCCTCCAAGTCGAGTCTCTTGCAGGTCATCGGAATGCTAGGGCCATGTTCGACACAGATTTCCCAACACTTCCAACAGTACTCGAAATGAGCCCAGGATCGCCATTTTCTTCACGGAGGGTTCGCTGCTTTTTGTGTTGGGAAGCTGCTTCGGCTACGCCGGGGACAGCGGCCCGGCACGCGATCGGGCACCCGAAGTCTGTGCGAAAGCTTGCTTTGATGTACTGATGGATGCACTAACGGGTCCTAACGAGACCACTGATCTAAGCCATCTAAGCACAAAGGTGCCCGTTCGTGCCGACGTTTGTTTGCAAATGCATGTGCATACATATCCGTGTATGTAGACATGCGTGTGTGTATGCGATGTCGGGCACATCCGTGCGCGAATAGGTAGGTTGGTAAGTTGGAGGGTTGGTAATTTGGTAGGTTGGTAGGTGTGGTAGGTAGGTAAGTAGGTAGGTAGGTAGGTCGGTAGGTAGGTAGGTAGGTAGGCAGGCAGGCAGGTAGGTAGGTAGGTAGGTAGGTAGGCAGGAAGGTACGAATGAACATAGGTATGGACGTATGTATGAAAGCATGTAAGCCTGCTGAACTTACCGTGCTACTGAGGTGGTTGGCGGGCCAGCAGCAGTGCACACGTCAACGCACACCTTGTGAAGGCGCTTGTTGCTGGTAGGGCCACTGCTGTCTTACCACCACCACCACCACCACCACCACCACCTCGGCTAACATCCGCCATCTAGTTACCATGATGTTCTATACTGCCGCCACACCACAACGATGATGGCAGCGCTGTAGCTCCCACCACTACTGCGGAATACTACTCCTACTACTCCAACAACAACAACTACTACTATTGCTACTACTACTACTACTACTACTACTACTACTACTACTACTGCTACCACTGCCAAGTGGGTGACAAAAACTACTNNGTAGCAGCAGCAGCAGCAGAAGTAGCCGTAGTAGTAGTAGTCGTAGTAGTAGTAGTAGTAGTAGTAGTAATAGTAATAGTACTAGTAGTAGTAAACGTAGCAGAAGCCGTAGTAGTACTCTGAGTAGTAGTCGTACTAATTAGTAGTAGTACTAGTCGTAGCATAGTCGTAGTCGTAGTCGTCGTCGTCGTTGTCGTAGTAGTCGTCGTAGTAGTAGTAGTAGTAGTAGTAGGAGTAGGAGTAGGAGTAGGAGTAGGAGTAGGAGTAGGAGTCGGAGTAGGAGTACCAGTAGTAGAAGTAGTAGTAGTAGTAGTAGTAGTAGTAGTAGTAGTACTACTACTACTACTACTACTGCTACTGCTACTGCTACTGCCACTGCCACTGCCACTGTCACTATCACTGCTACTGCTACTGCTACAACTACTGCTAGTAGTACTACTACTACTTCTACTCCTACTCCTACTCCTACTCCTACTCCTACTGCTACTGCTACTGCTACTGCTACTGCTACTGCTACTGCTACTGCTACTGCTACTGCTACTGCCGCTACTCTCACTGCTACCACAACAACTGCTACTGCTGCTCCTAGAAGGGGTGCTGCTTCTGTTGCCACCAGTGCTACTGCGACTGCGACCTTTACGGTTTCCAGATGCACCACAAGGGTTTGAACCGGCGCACACTTTGACATCCATCTTGAGCATGTTATATGCACTTTCGGTCTTAGTCCTGGTGGTAGCTTGCTTGCGGCGATCATGAGATGCGACTGAACTGCCCGAACTTTGCAAGGCCCTGAGCATTTGGCCTTCACTCTTTGGCTCCGTTTTCTTCAGCTGCGGGGCGATTCTCATGTGCCTGGAGACCATGCTGCTCGGGCGCAGAACAAGATGAAAATCGGGGACATGAGCAGGCAGCTAGCAAGAATGGGATTTGACAACAGAAGCGACAATAAGGTAAGGGCTGCACCAAAGGACGAGCGACACCCGCTTGTAATAAGCAAAATGTGTCGTCACAGAATCAGCAGTAGTCACCGCAAGACTCCAGCAAATTCGGAGACATCGTGCCAAGCCCGAGCCCGGAAATCTCGCAAGGAATGTGATGCGCCCCGTTGGCTCCTGGACCTTCCGAATTTTCAGCTTCAAGTCAATCTTTGCTGCTTGCCGAGACTGGACTCCGGACCGATTCGCTTCTTGCGGGGGATGTGCACCCCGAAGTGGTCGCTTCTGGTGAATCGGGAGACTCCCGTACTTCTATAGGTTGAAACCAAGAGAGGTTTGCTCCCTGCGCCTTGCTGAGGCGTACTTGGACAGCTGCAACACAATGAATAGCGAAATTACCAGCACCTCAGACTTGGAAGGTGTCATTGCGGAGGTCAGGCTAGTTTGGGGCTGTAGACTTCGCGGCGGAGATCGGAGTCTGGGTTGAAGGTCTGCTATCTCTGGCGGGGGTGCGGTTGGTGTTGCTGTCCAGACCGGAAAGAAGGTGGGTAGATTGGGTTGACCGTTTTCGCGAATGGTGTCTGCTTCCTCGCTCTGGTCCTCTCTTGCCTTCCAAACTGCCAGTCGTTTCTGAGATCTGCCTAGGAGTGCCGTACTTGGCATCCATGTCCTACTTTGCCGGGCTCCCCAGTGGCGATTGCCGCCTGCGGCTCAAGCTGATCCCAGAAGCGTTGCAGGCTCAAAGGCTTTCTTGGTAACATGGGCGAAAATTCCTGCGACACCTAACCCTCGGTTCGACTCGAAGACGCGTCCCTGGCCACAAGGTCGGCACCTGCATCTACCCCATTGCCGTGATCGCGAACTTACATCAGCACTTGAATCCAGACATGGAGCTGCTGCCTGGCCGTTGCGGTGTGGGCGGTATGCATGTAAGGTCTCACGTCACATTCCAAAGCCAAACCCCGAAAAAGTCAACGACTCCCTCTGCAGCGGTAGCCCCAACAAAGTTCCTAGAATCCTAGAAGTCCTCAGGCTCTTCTCGACGATCCCTTATGCGCTTGGAGGCCTTGCATCGAGCCGACGGATTCACGGGCATAATTCAGTTGGACCTTGAGCTCTGCAGGGCTTGACAGGAGTCCGACAATGAAATCCAATGGGTCGCCATGGGCCTACATCCCGAACAGTGCTCCGGTCTTTGTTCCCTTGTTATCTTTCTTTCTTTTCGTGTCTCTCGTTGTCTGTATAGTACAATTTGCAGTAATCATCCTCAGAGTGTTCGCAAAAATAACAAAGCCACTCTTTAAGTCATACATAGATGAAACAATCGTGAGCAATATGAACAGCCGTAGACATCAGCAAGCAGTGACCGTCAGCATCACAACAAACAGTATCAGTATATGGGCATGGACGCTGTTCATAATGTATCGCTCGTCAGTAACAGTTATGCTACGTCCAATTGTTTGCCTTGGCGCGTGTACGTTTCCAGCCTTTTTAGCCACTTTAAGTTCCAGGCAGCCGCAGAAACAAATGATGAATATGGTAAAGACGAGTACGAGAGAAGAAGGTTCGAAGATTGACAGGTTAGTTTTTTTTGGGGAGGATGGGGAGGTAGGTCATAGAGATCAAAGGAAGGGGAGGGAGCAGTGGTCCCCTCCTCTGTTCTGGTGTTCATGCCTTTGGAACCGTCAATCGTAAGCAGTACTTCCTTATCTGTTCTTGTAGTCTATGTTTTAATGTCTGTCGGACTCTACTTTGCACATCTACAACAACAAGAAAACAATAATCGCAGAATCGTATGATGTAGGTAGTGAAGATGTTGACGATGAAGATGAAACGAGAAAGTATGATGACGAAGAAGATAGGGTTGTGAACTCCAAGCAGGGTCCCCCTCATTGGAATTTGTCTTTCATTCACAACAGCAGCAACAACAACAATAACTGCAATCCATACGGTTAGTAGTTGGTAGTAATTACCCTCACATCATGGATATTACCAGTTGTTATACCAGTACTAGTAATAAGTCACGAGCGAATCAAGCACAAGGGAGCAATATGAATGAACAAAAGGTGCCATCGACATCATAGCACACCGTGTCATAGTAGGAACCCTGTTCATAATGTAGTACATACAACAATGATGGGGAGAACATGGGCTTGCAATAAAAGCTTATGTTTTTAATGTTGGCGGAGGACACGGGTGTACAAATAACGTGCGTTTCTGAATGTGGAGAAGAACAAGGTTTGCAAACAAAGTCTTAACGTTTGTGGTTGGAAGACGACAAGGGTTCACAACAAGCCTTGGGTTGTTGTTAGAATGGTTTACACAACACCTTGCATTTTGAATGTCGGAGCTTGTGCCCACCGACTCTTGGGCAAAATTTGCTGCGATTGACTTGTTTGCGGTTATATCTAAACAGGAAACAGCCAATCGCAGCAGATTTTAGCAACCGACTCTTGGGCAAAATTTGCTGTGATTGGCTTGTTCGTGGTTATGGTTAAATCGGGAAGCAACCAATAGCAACAAATTTTGCCAACCGATTCTTGGGCAACATTTGCTGCGATTGACTTGTAGCAGCCAATTTTGCCAACCGATTCTTGGGCAACATTTGCTGCGATTGACTTGTTCGCGGTTACATCTACACCAGGGAACAGCCAATAGCAGCAAATTTTGCCAACCGATTCTTGGGCAAAATTTGCTGCGATTGACTTGTTCGTGGTTATATCTAAATCAGGAAGAGTCAATCGCAGCACATTTTTCCAACCACTTGCTAATCACAAGTTGGTGCGATTGAACTTTATTGAACTTCTTGAAAAAGAAGATTATGAAGATGATGAGAATGATGAAGATGAAGATGATTACCTGAGGGCGTCGGGGTAAGAGAGGTGAGAGGGGGTGGGGGTATTGGGGTGCCGGATGATGTAGGGGTTATCTAAATGATTTCGATGGTTCTAATTACGTGGGATGTCAAATATGTGAAGTACTTCAATCAACCCTCGGGTGGGTTCTTTTCCAGAGGATGGATAATCGAAATAATCGAAAGAATCAAGCCAGGGGCTGATGTACTTGTTTCGATTATTTTCGAAATTTGGAAGGCCAAAGAATCGAAATAATAGAACTGATAAACCGGGTGTGATTTACTTATTTCGAGTATGTGGATTATTTAGGCTATTTAAATATTTGGGGATCTGCCTTCGGGGCTACAAGAGGGATGATTTAATCATTTCGATTGTTTCGATTCTTTGGCCCTCCAAATAATCGAAACAATCGAAATACTCAAATCAACCCTCAAATGGGTCCTCGTCCAGAGGCTTCCCCACCATTTACATAGCCGAAATAATCGAAGTTGTCGAAATTTTGAAATCAGGGGCTGATGTATTTGTTTAGATAATTTTCGAAAATTGGAGGGCCAAAGAATCGAACTACTCGAAGTAGTTCAATCGAGGTGTGATTTAATTCGATTATTTCGATTATTTAAATCCTCGGGGCCTGCCTTCGGGCTACAAGAGGGGTTACGATTCTTTGGCCATTAAAATAATCGACATAACCGAAATAAGTACAACAACCCCCAATTGGGTCCTCTGCCAGAGGTTTCCCCACCGTGGAAATAGTCGCAGTACTCGACACAATTAAACCAGGAGTTGATTAAATTATTTCGATTGTTTTCGAAATTTTGGAAAAGCCAAAGAATCGGAATACTAGAAATCAATTCGGGGGGTGATTTACTTCGAGTACTTAACTTTTTTTTCTTATTGGAACTGTTTGGATTATGGTACAAGATGGAATGTTAATGTAAAAAGGGCGTCAAACCGAACCTAAAGGGGCCCTTCTCATATAGATACACATTTTACACATCATATCTACATTACTATGTATCTAGATACTCTTTACCATCCATTCACACACATACATATATATATATATACATATGTATATATTAGTATCATATATATATATATGTATATCTATGTATCTATATATCTATATCTCTGTATTCTTTCATGTCTATATGTTTAGGTGGCTGCATATTTTTATGTCGATATCTCTACATATCTATATGTTTCTCTCTGTATTAGTTGTATAGAAATACGTGTATATACATGTACATATGTATGTACATCTCTACGTATCTCCATATACCTGTGAGTGTATATGTATATGTATTAATATGTATATGTATTTGTATATGTATTCACACACACACACGGAAAGGTACGCTGTGGTGGCCTGTGTTCTTCCTCTTGATCATATGTGTATATATACATAGTCATATATTTATATTGTCTTGTGCAACTACCTACCTATCGATCCATGCATCCATCAATCTATCTGTCTATATACACACCAACACCTTCTCTCAAGCTGCTCTATCCGGAGGCATCTGCTTCGGGGCCGGAGGGTTCCTGGAGTGCATGGAGAACAAGGCTCAATCGGCTTGGGGCCGCTTGGGCGGGCATGAGCTGGGCATCCTTGTCCTGCTTATGGCCAGTGCTGTTACTCATGTGACGACATCAGCAACGGCAAAGAGCGAACACAACAGTACTTGTGATAGAAAACAGCGACACCGAGCATTGCGAGATTATGGTCGTGCTGTTGCTAGCGCTGTGCAAAAGTCGCCGAAGAGTCGACTTCAGCCACCCGAAGTGCGCAAGCCCGAGCTTCGGAAATCGCACGCAGAAAGAAACATGTTCCGACGAGTCAAAAAATGCCTGTCGAAGAACTTTTTTTGGCAAGCAAGAACAAAAGACAACTCAGCCCGACCTTCGACCCATTGGGCAGCCCGCTTTGTAGAGAGTCGTGGTCTGCAGGTGTTCTCTACCTTGGATGTGACCCTTCCGAAGACAGCGCCTTGTCGCTGTTTTTGGGGTTCGCATGGTGCCGGGTTCACATCGGTGTGTAATGGTGTGTAATTGGGCTTGTTGACCTTCGAGTTCCGGCTGGGACGGACAAAGATAGCGTTGACAGTTCTTTTTCTCTGGTCGCGGTATCCCACGAGTGCTCCAGCTGCAGTCGAGGGTCCCAGCTAAGGCAGCGCTGCTGAACTTCTTAGGCGCAACACGCACGGATGTGGATGCTTGCTTTTGGTGGATCTTGGTGATGTATGGCCTTGGGCCCTCGGGATCGGGGATCGGCTTGGAAAGCGTGTGGGCTTTGTTTTTTTGTGCAGAGGTTGCCTCTACAAGTGCGTGTTCTGGCACTTGTAGAGGCAAGTTTATCTCCAGCGGCAGCCAAGAACTACTATGGTCCAGCCCGACCGAAGCACCAGCCCTGAAGGCAGAAGTTTCAGCAACTCTTCCACGCTAGGCGGACTCTTGTTCACTGTCGGCGGGTTCGTCTTGCAGCTTGGCAGAGAACTTGATGCGCTGTAACCCCCAAGCCGTTGTTGTCTTGGAATCCCGCAATAACATAAAACCTAAACCGAAGCAGAGGTTCTGGCCCCACCAGGGGGCACAGAGCAACTTACTCTTCGCAGTCGGCTCGTTCCTCTACACCGTGGCGAGCAGCCTCTCAGCGCCTCTCTTGCAACGAAAGACTCTGAAAGATTTGTGGGAAAGAGCAAGTTATTAAAGAGCAATATACTCATGGTATCCAGTCTTTTGTGCGGGTGTTTATCTGGGTGCACGGTCTCGGGGCGTCAGAAGGAAAGAACAGGACCGTTTGTCGCCTTGTATGGCGCTCGCTTTTCCTGTCTTTTCATTGTCCCTGCAGATCCCATCTTTTCGTCTTGTTCCCCTGCAAGTAGAGCCCCTGTCCCCTAAGCTGAGGTGATTATGTGGAAGGACCGAGCCCTGGCCTTGTCACGTGCCTTGGAGGGTGTGTTGCGAGGTTTCAATCAGCGCACTCCCCGGCCCAGCCCTGGCGGCTTTTCTCAGAGTCCCTTAAGCCGAGCTACCGCGAAAAGGTCCTGCCGTGGCGCGAAAACTTGGGCCATGGCTGGCGCTGCTTCCGGCTTGGGGGACTTGTTGGTACGAGGTGTTGCAATCAGGGGAGCACGTGGGTCTCCGTCTCCGTCTCGGGCATCTCCAGCGTCCGAGCTTGCTGAGCCAAGGGCTTCGCCGCCTGAGGTGGGCCACTTTGGAGGCTGGTTCCGCGTCTTCTCTCCTGGCTTTGCGCACACCCTTTTCATGTGCGAGGACCCCGAGGTCACCACGACGCAGATCCATGTCGCAAGCTTTTGGGATGAAGAATTCGACTACACGGACACCGTCCGATGGCAGAAGCGCGTTCTGCGCTGCACTCCAGCCCTCGGCCCGTATGCTGGCAAAGAACAGCGCTTCGAGTGTGAGGAGCACCCGGATCAGGTGAAATGGGCCGGACAGAGCCTCTCTTGCGAGCGATGCGGGCCGGGCGAGGAGGGCCGCACGCGACTGGTGAGGAGCTGCCTGAAGCTCCTACTCGCCCAAAAACCCGCTGCCCCGGAGGCGCTGGCGCGGGCCGCACTGCTCCCGGGCGCGGAAGGCATCGCCCGAGGCCTCGGTTGGCGGCAGGCCGACCTGAGAAAGGCGGCCGGTCGAGTGCAAGGTTTCCTGACCGGCCACATCCATGTGGAGGTGCAGAGCCTCGAGGGCGCCAGCGTGCAGTTCCAGCTCCCCGAAAATGCAAGCTGTGCCGAGCTCTACCATGCCACTGCCGCCGCCTTCTTTCAGGCTGGACACGCCGGAGTCACTCGGGAGGATTTCGTGTTATCGACAAGGGATGGTTCGGCCCTTCTGGATGCCTTGCCGAACGTGGCCATGGATCAGCCCGCATTGAGGAGTGCGCCGGAGGGCCGGCAGATGGAGGAACTGAGACAAATCGCGCAAGATGCCACAAGACCGGAGGACTTTCCATCGTCTGTGCCAGTGACTGTGCATGATATTTCCGGGGCACTTCTGGCCGAGATGCTTCTGCCCGGCGATGCGGCAGCAGCCGACTGCAAAGCAAAGCTTCGTAAACTGCTCTCGCGCCACGAGCCGGACGAGTGTATGCATCTGGTGACGGAGAATGGCCAACATTGGCAGGATGCAGAGATGCTGGCACCCTTGCTTGGCCAGGCAAGCACGTCTCGCTTGACGCTCGTTTGGGCCTCAGCCTTCCAATACGTCGTTGTGCCCCTAGCCAGCGAGGCTCGTGTTCTCGCTGGGCGCGGGGTCTTCCGGTCACCAGCCGAGCTGCCGGCGCGAGAGCCCGGCATGAGCCGCGTGGGCTTCCCTCTAAAGCGTGGCACAGGCTGCGCGGGTGCCCAGAAACTTCGGGCTGTGCGAGCAGCACACGGCATTGCAGGGCCGGCGGAGGTGCGGAAGCTGGTGGAGATCCTGCCCGTGCTAGACGACGATGATGCCGCAATTCCGGGCCCTGCACTGCACGTCTTCGAACTGGGCCCGGAAGTGGCGCTGATGATGGCAAACCTCACTTCGGATGGGAATCAGGTGGGTGGCTCCTACTACCAGGTCGTGGTCCCTGCCCAGGCAAGTAGCTGCATCCTTAGGTCCTTCCTTGCAGAGTGCCTCTGCAACTCTGCTGGGACATCGAGCCGCCTCGCTATCTTCGGGGAGAAGTTCGAGGCTGTCGGCTTCAGAGACTTGCGGCGCTACTTGCAGACGTGGCCTGATACCAAGGGTTTCACCCTGAGCAAGTAGCCGCTGACAGAAACAGCCTGCCACAACGAAGCCCTGGACTCCTCTAGGGTGTCAGCGCCCGGCTATCTCTTAGGGCGACGGACTAGATGAACTTGGGCCGACTCCTTGCTGCAGGACGAGCAGTTCGGTCTGGCGTACCTGGCCGCGCTCAACCACATGGGGGGTCAGGTCCATGGCTCACAGGGTTGTGGTAGATCTCAGAGTACGGACATGGTGGATCATTTTGCATTGCTTCGGTTTCACGTCCTGGCATTCCCTTCCTTAACTCTCTCTAGCTTTCGAGGGCTTGAATCTCCATTGCGATGCGAAGCAGCTGGACTCTTTCAGAGATCGTCCCCCCAAATGCGAATCGTTTTCCGAGCCCTCGTCGGAGGCGCGAGGCTCCTCCTTCATCGCCGGCAACACGCCACCGGAGTCCCGCACCTTTTCGGCCCCTCAGCTGCAACGGGCGGTGGTGCAGCCGTCGTCTTCACGACAGGAAGGGGTTTCCGGTTGGTGAAAAACCTCAGGGTTTCCGCGTCTTACAAGTTGAGTCCCTGCACGTTGGTGCTGGGTCCTTCTCGGAGCTTCGAGCCCCAGGCACCAGAACTTCTGGCCAGACCAAGGGGCCGCTGCAAGCTTTGTACTTTCCTTGCCAGGGTTTTGGGTGACTTGAGCCTCATCCTGCAAAGCACGGCCGTCGCGATTTGTTGACTTCCTGCCGAAGACTGCCGGCAGCGAGTGAAAGACTAAGGTGCGCGGCATTGTCTTCATCCACCTCTACTGCATCGTCTCCGTTGTTGTGCCGTGGCAGAAAGTTTGTGCGGCTGGGGGTCGCTAAAACCACACTGCCCCCTGCACTTGCAGGTCCAAAGCAATCTGGCCATTCCGTCCTAGCCGATGGACCTGAAAGACTGAGCCAAGGCAGTCATGAACTTTTGCTTGGCCCTCAACCACTTCATGGCGTTGCCGGCCGTAGACACCTTGGCCCGTGCCGGCAATGCCTCGTGGCCAAGTTAGTCTGGTGAGGACGGAAGGCTTTTGGTGACAAAGCTTCAGCCTTCGCTGTCTGGTTCCTTTATGTAGGTTTCGGTGTAGGCACAGTCACAAGCTTTTGGCGACTGCGCAAGAAGCACGCAAGCAGCTCTGGACGCCCAGAAAACTACAGTTTTGTTTTACATACATACATATACATATACATATACATATACATATACATATACATATACATATACATATACATATACATATACATATACATATACAAATACATACA